GCCCTCAAGCTCTTCGTGCATGCAAAGTCCATAGGTGCCCAGCTGGACAACGAGGTCCAAATTTACAACCGTATCAGTCTCGCCAACAAGAATCACCCAGGCCGCACGGCTGTTCGCGAGCTCCTCGACTCATTTGACGTCTCAGGACCTGACGGCAGCCATCGATGTCTAGTCCATCTGCCGCTGTGGGACAGCTTGCTCGCCTTCATCCATCGGAATCCAGAGGGCAAATTGCCCGCCATCATAGTAGCGGGCGTTCTTCGGCAATTGTTCGTTGCGCTGGACTATCTGCATACCGAGTGCAAAATCATACATACCGGTAAAGCCTTGGAGATCTTACTGCCCGGCCAAACACGTATCTACTGACGCAGCTTTCTGGCCTTAGATATCAAGGCCGACAATATAATGTTCAGTATAGAGGACGAATCAGTCTTCGAAACTTTTGAGCAGGCGGAATTGGATAATCCCTCTCCGAGGAAAGAGGTAGATGGGAGAACAATATACACCTGCCGAGAACTCCCGCGGCCTAGACGTTACGGCGTCCCGATGCTGTGCGATTTTGGCTCTGCAGTTCCGGGAGATGAGGAGCACAGCGAGGACTGCCAGCCTGCTGTGTATCGAGCGCCTGAGGTCATCCTGGAAGCACCCTGGGGGTACAAGATCGATATCTGGAATGCCGGCTGCATGGTGAGTTATTGAACTTGTCATGATGGATTGTTCTTGCACTCTTTATGAAGCGCTGACTATGGTCATTATTGAAAGGTGTGGGACATTTTCCAAGGGTTCCATCTCTTCAGTGGATACGACCCGGAGCACGAGACATACCGTAGCCGGGCACATCTTTCGGAGATGATAGCCCTGCTTGGCCCGCCACCCCTCAGTGTCCTATCTCAGGGTCGTGACACCAGCAAATACTTCACTAATACCGGTAGGTCTGAAGAAAGCCAGAGTGTTGGCACTCTGGCAGCACGCAATGCTCCAAATCCACTCACGCAACCTCCGTGTCTCGTAGGTGACTTCTCTGCGGATATCAGCATCCCGAAGCCGACAAAGCTTGGCGATATCGAGTATCGACTCGAAGGAGAGAGCAAGGAGCGTTTTCTAGCTATGATGGACCGCATGCTACAGTGGGATGCGGCGAAGCGCAGCTCTGCCGCGGAGCTCGCTAAGGACGAGTGGATCCACAAGCAGCTTCATGGCTGAAACTGCGATTCATACACTACATTCACGATGAGCATGTGTTGAGGGTGGGGTGAGAGGAGCTCGAAGCGAGATGCATCCCACTCAACGACCGACAAGCGTGCTAGCTTGTGCGATTGTTTGAGGCCTGTCTTCGTGACGACAAAGTCGTAGCTGCGTCAATCTGTATGGCAAGGCCATGTTCATGATCACAATGTATACGACCATTGACTAAGTTATTGGGCAGCATAGCAGGACGGACCAAGACATCTTACTAGCTAGGACTTCGGGGATATGTTATATACTAGTACTCATTTAAGATGCTGTTAGGTGTTCTCTAACCGAAAAAGAAAGAAGAAAGCCCCAGCATACTTCAACTCCGAGCCCAGCCGGTCGTAATATCATATGCGAAGTCAAGCGCTCGCCATTTGGGGTCTCGGCAGGCTCGTGGACAAGTACGCCCCCTTCCACGGCTTCAGAGCCTGCGCGACGATGACCCACGTGGGCAGCCAGGGCGTGAGGTACCTGCCCACGAGGCGGAACAGCCAGCCGGACCAGGCCGAGATACGTATGATCTGCTGGCTGCTGTCCACGGCGGCACGGACGCGGGGCTGTCTCTCGCGACAGACGTCCGGGAGGATGCGCTCAATCTCGGCCGTGGAAGGTGGGCTCATCGATGGCGTGCCGGCATCCTCGTATTCTCCGTCGGATGATCCCTCCGGGGATTGTTTCACGCCTGATGCCGAGGAAGCTTCCGTCTTCTTCTTCTCCTTCTGCCTCTCCAGCGCGGCGTAAAGGCGATCGACGAGCATGAGCACCAACTCCGCCCCCTGAGCACCTCCCTGCGCGAGGATCGGGTTCGTCTTGGCCACCGCGTCGCCGAGGCAGATGACCCTGCCATAGTTCCACCTGCGCAGGCAGTGGTTCGGGCACGCCTGCGTCGTGATGCGGTGGCAGTTGGCGTACACATCCCCGAACGTCGTCGTGTCCGTGAGCCTGGCGCGCGAGAGCTTCTCGCATATCTCGGCGCCCTTGGGGTCGTCGACGGCTTTCCACCGCGGGATGTTCGCGCGCCCCTTTGTCAGGGGCACCTTGAAGAAGATGAACCAGCACGCCTCGCCGTTGGCGCCGCCGAAGACGCCGATCGTCATGTCCTGCATGGATACCTGGTAGGCCGTGTCCTTCTCGAGGTCGCCCGTCTTGTGGGAGAGGCCGAAGACACAGGCAAACTCTGTCTCAAGGTCTGTCATAGCACCGTCGTGTTAACCACCAGTCAAAGTCTTTGATGGAGCTGCAAATGACAGACAAACCTTCACCATGATCTCCCTCAAAAATCTTCGGATCGGACTCGTCAGCGAGCCGCCACATCTCAGCCCGCACGACGCTGTTGATCCCATCGGCGCCAACAACGACATCAACGTCGAACGACTCGGCGACCTCTCCCCCGACATGCACCCTCACACCGTCATCCCCAGCCAGCGGCTCGATCTGGCTCACCTTCTTCCCCGTCAATATCTTCCGCTTGCCGCCCTCGCTAAGATTCTGATACAGGATCCGCAGCAGCTGCGAGCGCGTGAATGTCGCGATCCCATACCCGGCTGCCGCGGCGCGGATCTTGTCCCCTACACTGTGCCGAAACATCAGGTTGCCCTCTAGGTCGCGGCAGCTGAGCCGGCACAGCTCAGTCGACGCCGCGCCGACGTCGTCTAGGACGCCGAGCTGGTCCAGCACGCGCTGGAAGTTGGGGTACAGCGCCAGGCTCGCCCCGATCTCGGGCGTGATGTCGGGATATGTCTCGAGCAGGACGAAGTCGATGCCCAGCCGGTCGAGGTGCAGCGCGGCCGTGAGCCCCGTCATACCGCCGCCCACGATGGCCACCTTGAACGGCCGGGCCGGCGGGATCGTGGGGCTGGTATCGCTGACCGCCGTCGACATTGTGATAATAGCAGCGGTTGGCTAATGTTCGGGGTGCGATTTGGCTTCTGTGACTGCCTGATGCCGGGATATCGTCCGTACGAGTGCTGAGAGGTCTTTCTGACAGCTGGGCGAAATACCGAGTCCTCGTCAGCGAAGTCTCGGTATCGGGCATAAGGTCTTGGCGGTGGGCTGACCGCTGGGTGGACCTGAGCGTCTTGACTCTTGAGTACCCCTGAATCAACAACGCCCAATCAGGCGTGCTCGTTCATGCCGCCATGTGTGGTACGGGATATTGTCAGTGGACCACTCCCAAAATTAAGATCAGGTATGTGTTCAACGCTGGCTGTGTATTATGTAACTACTATCTAAGGCTGATGAGATTCATTATGAACCTGAAGCCTGGGCTTCGACGTGGGCCTACTTTGGCTTCGCTGTCATGTATTATGTATACTGAAGCTGGAGCTAAGGGGAAAAATGCATCCTTCCAAATCGCTCAAGAGCCACGGCTTGTCAGTTTTGGTGAAGCTGGCATGTTTCAAGAAAGCCAGCGCCAGGCGACTGCTACGACACAAAACGTGGTGAAGGCCAGCAGTGCAATTAGGAACACTCAGGCAATGGAGACAAGCCGATCAAACAGGTTAGGCGGTCCATAGTCATCATAACCCTTGTCGTCGTCATCTTTTTCGCTGTCGCCATCTTCAAGGGGCCCAGAGTCGTTTAGCTCGTCGGAAGCCGCACTCCCTTTGTCCACCCAGTCTCTACCTGCAGCCCCTGCAAGCGCGGGTACACCGTCTGTGAAGATACAGTCGTCTGCATTCGCCAAGTGGATGCCGGGAAAGCCTCCGGAGTTCAGCCGGACAAAGTTGTCGAGAAGCTTGAGCAGGTCTGCTTCTAAGTCGCGGTGGTGTCTCTGCCCGATATCTGTCCAGGAGCTTCCAATGGCCGGCTCACCAGTGAACATGTACACAATCGCAGACTATGAGGGCGAGTAGATGTCGAACTGGAGGAGCTCCTGTCCTATCATGGTGTACTTCGTCGGCCTGGCCAACGCCATTCGCAGAGCTTCCCGGATGGCACTAAGGTGATCATGGTAGATGGCATCCTCCCAGTCTGTGAACAAGGTGAGGCCATTCAATGGCAATTTCCTGTCGTCGACGAGCCTGCCTGCGATGTGCATGTGGACTCTCATGGTACCGCTGTTCTCACATTTGTCACCCTCGTGCTTGACGACGATTCTGATGGTGATTAGTCTGGCCGAGCGTGGAAGGCTTGTGGTGGTTGAGGATTGACGGTGGGGTCGGTGCAGATCAGCGCCGCCTAGACGAGGCTATCGTCGACGGTCGAGCTCGGGCCAGATTTGTTCGCCAGTGGAAATATTCCATCCCTTGGGTCGATCGGCTTGGACTGTTGTCGGTGCCGCCATGTTTTTGAATTATAGAATGCAAGATGTGACTCGTGACGAGGACTCTTCGCAGCGGTTGGGGATGAAGATGACGTGAAGATTGGATACAGGAAGGGAGATGCGTCCAAGACCGATGAGTGGAGCAAGAAGAGTAAGTGAAGGAGAGTGGTGATGGGCCAGTCGATTAGGACTGGAGGCAGGTGCGAATCAAGGGCCTGGCTGGGCTGCCGGACGGCGCGTAATTACATCTTTGCCATGTTGTAAGAGTGGCAGGAACCGAATAGCCACTGCTGCAAAGCTTGCGCGTTACAGCAGTCCAGGGCGCTCTGGTCCGGTTCTCGGAACAACCACGGCCTGGATGGAGCATGCAGTCGACACGGCAAGCAGAACCAAGTGCGAAACAAAAAGAAAAAACTGCGACATCCTCAAACCGCGGGAACACGCGCAACACAGGCCGGCGAGTCATGCCACGTGCACCATGCACCGCCAAGGCCAAAAAGAACTCCGAATCGGGGAATCGAACCCCGGGCTTGACGGATCATGGGAGGATGAGAGCGTCAAATGTTAGCCACTACACCAATTCGGATTGCATGTGCAGCGCTTATATCATATTGAGTATGTACAAAAGCTAAGCATCACCGGGCGCCGGCTGTGGTCCGGACCCTGGCCAGAAGGGCCAGTTGAAAAGACGAAACGAAGCGGACTGAGGTTGGCCACGAAACAACCGCAGTGTCGACTTTTGAGACCAGGCAATGTGTGCTCAAGAGGAGTGTCAAGCAAAGTAGACCCGTCGTGCTGGCACACGGCGTGCCCTCGGATACTTTCTGGTAACTTGTAGACGCCCTGGTCTAGATGACAACGTCGATACGCGGCATGGCCAGGAGGCATGGGCATGGATGGGCCAACGGTATACTACCGCCCGGATCTGCCGGAGCACACGAGGCCACTGCCGCAAGTGTGCGCCACACGATCCGGCGGGAAGCAGGGGAGAGGGTATGTGCCGCGATCTTGGCACGGCAGCTACTCCGTGCCACCTCTCGGAGCGGCCCATCCCGGGACCCGAGTCTCCGAGGTTATGTAAGGTTTGCAAGGAACATATCTACGATAAGTGAGCGAGGAAGGGTACTTCACACCGCCGTTACGAGCCTCCCCAGTCGGCCCCGAGTCGCGCAGAGGGGCCAGCATATCAAATATCCCGGCACCGGCGCAGGCACAGGCATTCGTTTCGCATCCTGCGCGCGTGTTCGTAATCGTACGGTGGCGGACTTTCCGCCCCGGCGCTGACATGTCTGTGTGTGACGCTGGACCCTGCCTGGTGAATCGATAATAAACCTGGGGACATATATAAGTGGTGTTGGCTCTCCACAACTTCTGGACCAGCCCACAGACACCAGTGACGCCGATGGACAACAAAGAACACATTCCATTTTCGGACAGGGCAGTATCCCAGTCAGAGTTGATGATGATTGCCTCTCCATTGCAACTGGCAGGCGTTGGAGTGGTTGCGGTAAGTTCGTCCTTCCATAAACTGGCCAGACCACCCGGCGGGGTCTAGGCACTCAAGTGCACCCTATACAGATCACACATGACGTTCTCTGCTTGACTGTGCTGACCTGCCCGACTCGCATCCTCCAACACAGGTACTCGCCTACTTTGTCGTCCAGACAGTCTACCGCCTCTACTTCCACCCTCTCGCCAAAGTCCCCGGCCCCAAGCACTGGGCCATTACCGACCTCTTCTACGTGAGGCACTTCATCAACGGCACCTGGGATGGCCACCTCAAGACGCTCCACGACAAGTACGGCCCGGCCGTCCGCTACACGGCCAACCAGGTCTCCTTTAACTCCCCCGACGCCTGGAAGCCCATCTACGGTCATAAGATGAACGCCGAGCGAAACTTCGATAAGGATCCCATGTTCTATGCCGACCGCGAAGGGGATGCCACCCATATCATCACTGCCAACAACGACGACCACCGCCGCATGCGCCGCGTCCTCGCCCACGCATTCTCTGAGAAGGCCCTCCGCGGCCAGGAAGGCATCATGAAGGGCTACATCGATCTCTTCGTCCAGCGCATGGGCGAGAAAGCAGCCGCCAACGAGGCCATCAACATCGTCCTCTGGTACAATTTCACCACCTTCGACCTCATCGGCGACCTCGCCTTTGGCAAGCCCTTTGGCATGCTCCAGAGGGGTGTCTACCACCCCTGGGTCGCCATGATCTTTGAGAGCCTCACCGTCCTGCCCTACCGCGGGGTCCTCAACCGCTACCCCTTCCTCAAGCCCTTTGCCGACCTCATCACCCCAAAGCGCCTCGCCGAGAGCTACGCTGAGAACGTCAGCCTCAGCCGCGAGACGGCCCTGCAGCGCCTGCACTCTGGTAACGTGGAGCGCGAGGACTTTATGTCCTACATTCTGCGTAACAACAATAGCGACGACGAGAAGATTAGGGCTAGGGGCCTCACCGAGGACGAGATTGCCTCCAACGCCATGATCCTTATCGTCGCCGGCAGCGAGACCACGGCGACGATGCTCAGCGGCACCACCTTCAACCTGCTCAAGAACCCGGACAAGTATAAGAAGCTCGTCCGCGAGATCCGCAGCGCCTTTGCATCCGAGGACGAGATCACATTGACGTCAGTCAACCATCTCGAGTACCTCCTAGCTGTCTTCAGCGAGAGTTTCAGGATCTGTAAGCTGCATGCCCTCCACCACTTCCATCCCTCCAGGCAAGATCTCATAGCTGACCGACCGTCCGCGTCCGCTTCTACACATTGCAGACCCTCCCGTCCCTGTAGGCCTGACCCGTATCGTTTCTGAGGGCGGCGAGACCATCGAAGGTTATTACATGCCACCCAAGGTAAGTGTCACCCATCACTGTCCACACTCGGAAGGAGTCTTTCCCCTGGTCGCAAGAGTACCCACACCCATGCATGCACACACTTATGCAGGAATATCTATCTGGACCACGATCACGACGCTAGCCTGAAGAGAGAAGGGACCAGAGAGAGAGGGAGAGAGAGAAACCCGAGAGAACGAAAACTCGGAGACTGACAAAAAGCCCCAACCCGCAGAGCGTCGTCGCCGTGTCCCAGTTCTCCGCCTACCACGACGCACGCAACTTCTTCGAGCCCGAGAGCTTCCACCCTGAGCGGTGGCTCGCCAGCAACACGACCGACCCCCGCTTCGTCAACGACAAGCGCGACGTCCTGCAGCCCTTCTCCATCGGACCCCGGAACTGCATCGGCAAGAAGTAAGTGGCTTCCTATTTCTCCTGCTCTTGCTTATCTGGAATCAGTACCCGCTCCCCAGGGATCAAGGCCGAGGGTCCCCATGGGTGAGCAAGGAAAGAGAAAACAAAGCAAGAAGACTGACACCCAAGGAATAGCCTCGCCTACGCCGAGATGCGCCTCATCCTCACTCGTCTGCTCTACAGCTTCGACCTGGAGCTCCAGCCTGAGAGCCGGGACTGGATGAACCAGCGCGTCTTTACGCTGTGGGAAAAAGGCGAGCTCATGGTCAAGCTCACGCCCGTGGTGAAGCGCTGAAAGGAAAAATAGAGCGCGCGCGCGACCCTGACCTGCTCCAGGAGCATGGGGTATGGGAGGATGAATACAACAACTTGAGTGGCGGAAATGAGAGCAGGACTGAAAGAACGGTCGCCAATACATCCACTGAAGGAAGAGCAGGCGTGAGCAGGACACGGTGTGTGAGGGGGGTATCATGCTCGCCTTGGGGGTAGGGGATATGGGATGCGGTAGGGCCCCCCTTGTAGACCGAAAGTGTAGTACGCTCCGGATATGTCTGACGACAAACACGGGCACCACATCGATTCTCAGGATATCGTTGCGGTTTCGAGATTTTTTCGTGACCTTGCAGTAAATGGGGATAGGTACCCGGCAACTAGAGCGCATCCAAGTGTGATTTTGCGTTTGCACTGCCGGATCGTGGGTACACTCGAATCTAATAATTCGTTTGCACACTAGAGAGCGAGACCGTGGCAATATAATCAGCAATGGTGAGATAGAAAGAAGGAATAACACGCCCTGCCGTGAAAGAATTGTATTCATTAGTGAGCCATCCCGGAAGGAGAGTCGGTCTCCGAGAAAGGCATGTAGGGTCAAAATGTCAAGAAAGTCTGCTCTATGTCCGGGTATCAACCTAGCGACCCCTCTCGCGCAAAACAGTTCCCATGCCGTGCCTCGTCGTGTGTATGGGGCGCCATCCTCGTCTATCGCGCCCTGGTATCCGCGTCTCTACGCGCAAGTGCCTTCGTCCCCGAACAGCTGATCCGAGACGTTGTGCTCGGTCAGGGAAGAGATTGTCATCCCGCATCAGTCTACGACACGTTCACCATGGTCTCTTCCGTGCCAGTCCACTACTTGACTGAGCTCTGGCACTCGGCCCGCCATCCTCGCACCCTCTGGATCGTAATGCTGACGGTCCTAGTGCTTGCTCAGCCGGTAGAGTGAGACAAGATTTCGCTTACTCTTTCTCCGGGTGTTAATGAATCACGGACCCTGCAAGGGTCGCCGTGGAAAGCCAACCTGCTCTGTGTCGAGCAGGAATTTCGTGTCGGTCGTGTCGGCATCGCATGGCATCGACGCGCTGCCGAGCATAAAAATATCGCTGGCTCTTGCCATGGCATAAATCGGAAGTCGTGTCCGTATCTTTCTTCGCCATATCCTCATTCGACTGAATCCGCAGACTCGACAGAACGTGATCCCACGACTTCACGCGCGTAAAACTCGACGAGCATCGTGGCGTACGCCTCAAGGTCCTCGACGGGCACCGAAAGCCGGAAGTCGTTCAGGACAAGAAATTGAAGCTCGAGATGGTTGAGCTCCGCCAGGGGAAGGCCACCGACCTGGACATGAGACAGCTACAATCAGCACAGGGAACATAGCGAACATAAGATGACCGTTGATGAAACGATCATAGGTGCAGAAGACATACCTTAGCGTAGCGTGAGTTCGTATAAAAGACGTCGGAGAAAAACTTGCTTGCACATGTTACACCTGCTATGATGAGACGGTGGATGTTGAAGCTATCGACCACGAAGTAGGTGGCAAGCGATGATTGCGGAGCCGGTGAATGTGTGGGCTGGGAATCTGCCCGCACATCGTTCGCTGTCTTGGGCTCATCCTCATCGTCGGCGAGATCGGAATCAGTCTCGTCATCGTCCTCGCTGTCCTTGTCCGGCATTTCAGCGTCGGATCGGGGTGCGGAGGTCTGAGCACTGCGTTCTGGGTGGCTCTGAGAGTGCCGGCGACCTTCCTCAGCCTGCATCACCATGCGGTTGACTCTTTCGGTCATCCGGTCAAAGTAGACGAGCAGGCTCAAGAACACTTCGTACGTGGTCGGGCAATACTTATGTATACGGCTCAGATAGCTCAATATGGTAATGGCAGGCACGTTCTTGCCGTGGAAAGCGAGCACCGAGCTGCTGAGGGGGCTCATGGATGCACCGTCGTTGTTGTGGCTGGCTGCCGTCTGCTGATGCGCCGCATTCCGGTGCAAGGCGTCGTGTTGCAAGTCGTTCGTAGTGGTGATTTTGGTAAGAAGAGCCGCGACCATCTCGATGACG